TTCAATTTCCACTGTTTCTAGCGTACTTAGGATCAAAATTCTGTCATTCTTTAAATATTAATGGTTCTAGCGTGCTAGGGGTCAGAATTTTGTCAGTAATAAATATTAATGCTTAGGGTCAGAATTCTGTCATTTGTTAAATGATAATGCTTCTAGCGTGCGTAGAGTTATAATTGTGCCATTCTTTAAATAAAAATAATAATGCTTCTAGCGCCTTAGTGCCTGAATTTTGTCAATAATAAATATTAATGTTTCTAGTGTGGCAGGGGTCAGAATTTTGTCAGTAATAAATATTAATGCTTAGGGTCAGAATTCTGTCATTTTTTAAATGATAATGCTTCTAGCGTGCGTAGAGTTAGATTGTGTCATTCTTTAAATAATAATGCTTCTAGCGCCTTAGTGACTGAATTTTGTCACTAATAAATATTAATGCTTCTAGCGTACGTAATCTCAGAATTCTGTGCTTACAGCCTGACTTTTATTACTGATTAAATGCCAATACTTCTAGTCTTTAGTTTGTTAATATCTAATGCTTCTTGTTTTAATTTAGCCAATCTTCCATGCTTCTAGCGTACTTAGAGCCAGTATTCTGTGATTCTTTAAATGATAATGCTTCTAGCGTTCTTAGGATCAGAATTGTGTCATTCTTTAAATAATAATGCTTCTAGCATCTTAGTGTCTGAATATTGTCACTAATAAATATTAATGCTTCTAGCGTACGTAAGCTCAGAATTCTGTGATTGTTTAAATGATAATGCTTCTAGCGTGCTTAGGGTCTGATTTTCGATAATCATAAATAATAATGCTTCTAACGTGCTTACAGACTGACTTTTATTACTGATTAAATGCCAATGCTTCTAGTCTTTATTTTGTTAGTATCTAATGCTTCTTGTTTTAATTTAGCCAATCTCTCATGCTTCTAGCGTACTTAGGATCTGAAATAATGCTTCTAGCTTGCCTATAATCTGAATTTTGTCACTCATAAATAATAATGCTTCTAACGTGCTTACAGCCTGACTTGTATTACTGATTAAATGCCAATGCTTCTTAGTCTTTATTTTGTTAGTATCTAATGCTTCTTGTTTTAATTTAGCCAATCTCTCATGCTTCTAGCGTACTTAGGATCTGAAATAATGCTTCTAGCTTGCCTATAATCTGAATTTTGTCAGAATTAAATGTGAATCCTTAGTCCATAACATCTTTCTTGAATTTTGTCATTCATTTAACCTAGCATGAGTCTGATCACGAATTTTGGCACTCAATAAATGCCAATGCTTCTACTCTTAATTTTGCTACTCTCCGATGCTTCTAGGTTGATTACGAATTGAATTTTCACTCTAATTTTGATAGTTACCAATGCTTCTGGTGTACTTAGGGTCTGAAGTCTGTTACTCATAAATGCTAATGCTTCTAGCTTGCTTATGATCTGATTTTTTTCTCTCATTCCAATGCTTCTAGTATTAATTTTTGTTACTCTCTATTAAATGTTAATGTCTCTATTCATTTATTTTGTCATTTAACCCTTTCAGGGTTGATTTTTTTATTTTATTCTTATTTTTTATATAAATGCACATGCTTCTAATGTTATATTTGGATATTTTTATACTCCACATTGTATTCATTAAATGTCTAGTTTGAATGTTGTCTTATCCCCATAAATACATTCTTAAATAACATCAAAGATAACTTTTTTTAAACTGTTTAAATGAATGTTTTCTAACAAATCATTTTAAAACGCTTCTTGTTTGAATAATAAAATATTTGTAAAGGGAAAGGTTATCACCGCGAAAAAAGACTAACAAGGGGACAACCGGGTTGTTGGGTCACAGATTTGGCCCAAACGTTTTTGGTCATTCTATACTCCAAAATATTAGCACAAAAAGCACATGCTTCTTGTGAATAAGTTCTTCTTTTGCCAAAAAATTTAAAGGTTGACATTTTCTGTTTTTTAATATTTTTATTTTGCTGTTCTCCTTGCTCAAATTAACTATATGATTATATCACTTTACAGAATGTTTTAAGTGAATTGCAATAAAAATAAATTAAAAGCTATACGAGTTTATTAATGACCAAAAAATTTCCAAAAAGCCAAATATTTTTTAAGTAAACAAGGTAATTTTTTTACCTTTAAGCATTATGAAATTTCATTGACTTAGCACCTCTAGAGACCCCTAAATATAAATTTTCGTTTGAATTTAAATTTACCGACTTTGACCCCCATAATTTTTTTGATTTTTGAGATGTTATTGGAATATTGATTGAAACGGCTATAATTCAAAAATGGTAAAAGGATTTTAACATCAAACAGACCTTTGAAAGAAGAGGAACATAGCTTTTTAAAAACGTATTTACCATAAAAACATAATATTAAAGGTTTCTATAAGAAAGTACTCAAAATTTGTCAGTCTTCTTATTAAAGAAATTCTCAAGTAGAATTTATTTTTTATAACAGTAACAAACAATGAAGTCGGACTATTCCGAAGTAAAAAAAGTTAATTTCTGCTAAATAAATTTGTTATTTTGTATATTTTTTTATAAAAATATTTTGTATATTTTTATGGCACATAAATTGTTAAAAAGCTACGTTTTTCTTCTTTCAAATGGTCTCTTAACTGAGGCGTCGGTGGCCGCAACGCTTTAGGTGTTGACACGGCCCTCATCACTGTCAGGTAATTGTCCCGGGTTCGAATCCAACGGCCCTGCATTCGAACCCGACATCATTACAAATGGGCTTTTTTTCAAAACCACCGGCACCCTGAGGGCTTATATGACCTCTGCTGTTGCGAACCCTTGTTTAAAAAAAAAAAAAATTGGACCCTATGACATTAAAATTGTTTTAGCACCATTTTTGAATTATAGCCTTTTCAATCAGATATTCTTATTACCACTTATTAAAAATCGGAAAAATTTTAGGGGTGAAAAAATCGATAAATTTAAATTCAAACAGAAATGTATATTTATGGTTCTCTTGAGATGCTAAAACGAAATTTCATATTAGTTTGATGAAAATTTTATGACCTACTTCACTCGTAAAATATTTGGTTATTGATAAACTTTGATAGCTTTTTACTATATTTTTATTGCAATCTGCATAAAAAATGCTGTAAAATGAAATATTTACATAGTTGATTTAAGCAAAGTGAAATAAAAATTATATAAAAAAAAAAACATTCACACCAAGTGGTGTGGTGCATACATGTATACAGATCTGTCACCCACCAATCTGTTGTAAGTTCCCTTGTAAGTTCGATTTCTGTAGATGACTGTTTTTAATTTTCAAAGTTTATATTGCAGACTTTTTTAATGCTTTTCATATAACATGAAGCATGATTACAATTTTGGTTCAAAATTAGTCTTTTACAAGCAAATTTTTGTTCTTCGATGTTTCTCTTGAATAAAAACTCTCAGCCTAGGAAAAACTATCTTTTTTTTTCATGTTTCAAATAATGTTTTGCCCGAAGTGCATTCTTTTGTCTTGTACTCTTTATGTTTTGATTATGCAATAGAAAATAAAAAAATTGCAGACTGGAAGGAAGAATTATAATTAGTTTTTGATGAGGTGTTTTTAGAAAAATGCAATTCTTTTATCAATTTTGTAAATCTCATTGCCAGGTATTTAAGCATCATTTGTAGAACATTCTGCAGGCATTATTTTTAGACTTATTATATCAACAAATAACAACAGCAGCAAAACATGGAAAGAATATGGTTTGTTTTAAAATAATTTTAATCATTCTTCTATTATAAAGGAAATTAATTAAATTAAATTCGATTAAAATTAAAATAATTTATTTTTTTCTTGTTCATGTTTATAATAAATACCTTTAAATATAAATCACCTTTAAAATTTGTCATATTGTTTTTAACCACTAATTTATTTACTCCTGGTATCTGGTCTTTGTTAGTTTTATCACTCAACTGAGACGTATAGTAATTTTTCTGAGTCAGAGAGCTGATTATTTTGTTTTTGTTTCACCGTTTTCATTGTTTCAATACCATTCGGTTAAAATGGAAACAACTTAAAACTATTTTAAAGTTTTATAAGGCAGATGTATTTTGTCCGAGGGGGTTCACACTACTAGCGTTAGGATTCTAAATTTAGACCATTGTGCGTGGTCACCTCGGATTGAAAACATCTCTTTCTTATTAAGCCGTTAAAACGTACGACAAAACTGGATAAATTCGTGCTACCAGGTACGTTTCAAGACATGGAAGATTTTCAATTTAATTTTTTATTCTTTCGCCACTGGGTTTAAATTATCACGAACTCTGGTGATATAAATTGCTGGTCGAGTTTGTGATAAAAAAATTCCTTATGTCCTTGATACACTGATAATGTTTTTCTCGTTTTTTTTTTTTTTTATTATAAGGAGGGGGGGTCATTTACATGCTGAACCTACACGTCGGGATCATTGGAGGGAGAATCGTATATAATGCCCTTGTAGAGGCCCTGATGCTTCAAACCAAGGCCGGGATTTTATTTCCCTGTTCAGTTTAACTCTATATTTCATTGAGAACACATTGTTTGGTCTACTAATGTCTCTTGAGAATTATCTATGGATTGCCTCTTTCTATCCGTTCCACGCGTTATGTGGAAATTACTATGTAAGTGGATATAACGATAGTTTTTTAATTTTGCCTTTTATCACTTTAGTTTATTATTGAAAGTAATTTCTCCATGTGGTTTTTTTTTTTTTTTTTTTAATTGTGTATATTTAGCTAGACCTATATTGCACATTCGCTTTGGCACTGAGTGAGGCATGTGGAGATAGATTCGCTTAAAATAACTGTTGTAATGATTTAATTCCGTTTGATCCCATGCTGTCAATGTTTTCCTTAAAAACGGTACATAACTCAATTCAAACATACGGCCTTATATTTTTCAAGTTAATTATCTTATCTTATTGAATTGTCTTGTTTGCCGACACTTTCAACTAACGTGTTTATTTACACATTTTGGAAAACATGTTATTTATGAATTTTTCCTTTTTCTGTTGCAGCTCCGAGGGAAATAGGAATGAGACATGGCGTCGATCCTCCACTTGGACGTGCAGCTTCGACAGGCATCGACGACGGATTCACAGGCGAAGGCGCCGCGTGTGGTTACTCAGTAGTAGCCGTTGCCCATCAAATGCTAGCCGGTAAATAAAAGTGACATTTTCTTCTTAAGATCAGTTAAAAAGATCAGCAGATGAAATTAATGCACTTAATTTTGATTGATTCATTTCAATGCTCGAAAGCTTTTTTACCTGGTCTTGAGAAAAATTAAAAAAAAAACAACTAAAAGTTGATAGACAATCGCAATTAAAAAGTGACTTTTTTTTTTTAAATTGTGGTTTAGAGGTTTGCCAGTCGGTATATTATTAAATTTATATAAAATTTCCAACCAATTAAAATTGTAGACTATCAGATATTTTAAAATATAATATTTATGGAATATTATTTCTAGAAAGTTTCGCTATTCATATTAATTGCATGTTTTTTATTGAGGGATTTTTAAACATATGATAATATATTGTGAGACTATGCTTTGATGAGGAAAATGATGAGGCAGCTGGCAGATTTCTTTTCCAGTAGTAAGTCTGTTGATAAATTAAAAAAAAAAAAAAAAAAAAAAAAAAGATTAAAGAGTTCAAAAATAAAAAATTATAAATTTACGTTTGTGTTATCTGTTACAGAAAGAAAAGGCGATAAGCTGGCCCCTCCAAGAATTCCGAGCCAGCGAGTGAGACGGAACAGCAAATCTCTTCCAGCTAGCCCTCAGTCCTCTCCAAAAATGTTGAGAAAAAACCCCTATTTCACCGAAATTCTCTTTGGTACGTGTAATCGTGATATTTCTCTTGTTTGTTTTTACCATATTAATCACCTGATCCTATGGGAATACTTTATGTGAAAATATTTTTACCATCTGCTTTTTTTAATTTTTTTTTAACTTTATTTTTAATTTTTAAATTTAAAGGATCAAGTGATCTTGTCGACACTGACAACAACAACAGCCAAATGACAAAAGAACTGGCAGAGAAATGGTCTTCGAAGTTCGGTAGGACATTCAGCGACAGTGACCCCACGTCATCCCCCTCTACGGTACAGCCTGTAAGGACCTTGAAAGCAAAGCCTTCCGAGTTGAGGGAAATGAATTTCTGGTCCCCCACATCAATGTAATAATGAAATAATTTTATTGCTACTCCAAATTCCCCACCATAAATATTAAAAAAAAAAAAAAAATCACACCTATTCAATAAATATACTCTACCTTGACAGTAGTGTTCTTTCTGATATTGTACAAGATTTTTTTTTCATTTTTATTGAAAAGAAAGCAATATTTGTTGTATATGTTGTTAATTTGATGTGCTTTTTGTCCTTATACTTTTTTAAAGAATGTTTTACCTTCTTGTACCTTTCTTTTAGATAATTAAAAATTCGCTTAGGTTACTTAGAAAAAATAATGGCAATAATGTCGTAATATATCAGCTTGTATATAATTTGGCTTGAACACAATGATTTCTTCTATTGAACTATTTCAGTATTAAATTGTATATTTTTGTTTTTATTTTTTTATTTTAAATTTTTATTTTCAGACTGAGTTTTATTTATTTTGTATATAGTTATTATAATTTTAAGCGTAACTTTATTTTTGTTAAATGATTGTCTTTTTTTTGTGGTTTTTATGTAATTTTTTGTTTTGAGGAAAAAAAAAGACAATTCCTAATAATTCCAAACGGTCGATGTATGTAAGGAAAACAAGCAATATATGGCAATATAATAGTGACAAGCAATAGATGTATCAAAATGACACGATAATAATTTGTAAATTGTCTGTTGTGCGTCTTTGTCTTTCCCAGGCATGGAATATCATACAATAAGTGAAATTAAAAAAAGAAATTATATTGTGTAATAAAACTCTCTTTATTATATATCAAATGATGTTTTATTTTTTCTACCTTAAAATCAAACACGCAAGTAAAAACCCACAAATACAAAGTAGCATTCATAATATTTATTATGAACAAATAATTTTCTAACCATATAAATAAATATAGGTATGAATAAAGTTGATTTTGTGTTATAATACATAATATATAAAAAATTAAACAAACCAGGATTTCATATTTATTATAATCTTATAATTTATTACTCCTATAAATATAAGTATGGATAAAATCGATTTAGCCTTGTTCGAATTAATTAAAACCTTGTTTCATTATAGATTAGATTATGTAAGAGTAAGAACTGGCCACTTTATGACCTGTGCACTGCGACCAGTATTGTGCTTCTCTGTTGTCTAAAGATCCTCTTTAAGCTTAAAGCTTTTTACCAGATACCAAAGCTTTTTCATAGATTTTGGCTGTATCCTTCAGACCTGAGCTTCTCTCATGAGCAGGAATCCCACGTCCTAGATTTAGTATTTCTGCCATCGGATTCTGCGATGGCCCTTTGATGAACTTATTCACATGCCTTTCTCCTGGGCATTCCCTTTGAACGGAAGACTTCTTTTTAATGCGTAGTCTGATGGATCCACATTTTTAGCAGTTTGGTACGTCACAAAAGGTTCAGAGCCAATAGGTGTATCAAACCAATTCCAATTTATTAGCCTCTTTGTTGCCTTGAGTGCCCTCGTACCCAGACATAAGTAATTTTTTCTCCAATGACTGACAGCCCTAATAACGATTGGACTCTACTACTGATAAAATAATTGTCCTAGTGCCGTCTGGCTATTCGAGTAAGTGGCTATTTATTTAACAATACCTAGCCTTTTACCTTGTTTTATTTTAAAACATGCAATCTTGGCATATAGAAAATAAAGGATTAAATTTTGACGCTAAGCAGTCGTTCTTTTTTTTTCTGTAATAGGTCTTTTGACATACTGATAAATACAGAATTGGCCAAAAATGTTTGTGCTTGATAAAGAAACTAAAAAAATAAATTCAAGGAAAAAATAGTTTTTAGTGTGGGCTGTTTGAACAAGTGTGAAATCGTAGGCTATCCCGCGAGGTTGGGGCGTCTAAAAACCGGGAAAACTGAAAAAAAAGGAGGGAAATAGAGAGGTGCTCACTGGGTGAGGTTCAAAGGGTGGGTTAGAGGTGATTGATTAGTTGGTTAATTATCGTCTGCCCAAAAAGAAATTTAAGTATGAGTTTCAATTTAAATTTTAGCTCAAAGCTGAGGATGTTATATAACATGTCGAATTAATTTAACCTTATCCAGGTTTGAAACCTTGATCTCAAGTGATGGCCCACAAGGTTAACAGGGAAATGCTTCAATAGGTCAATAACTGACTTGATTTTTTTTGTCTCTAAAAGACTTTTTCCATTGTTCTCTTATATAACGTTTTTCTAAGTAGTCAGATAAAACCAAAATTTTCTTTATATAATAAAATTATTTTTATTGAAATATTATGCAATATATCATAAAGTTGCTTAATGCTTTGCATAAATAGATTGGGGGGGGGGAAGAGAAAATGGCTCGTTTTCTTGGGTCGATCAACCCCCTCTAAGACCAGGCTAAGTTACAAATTTAGACGACGAGCGTCATAACACAAAGGTAGAGAAATGTGCCAAGCAGAATATTTGGAACAGTAGACAATTGGACGCAATGAGCTAAGAGAGAGACAGAGATAAGAAAAAAAATCACTGGCAAGATTCAAAAGGTATACAAAATAAAATTGTGCCAGTGAATTTTTTAAAGGATATAACGAAAGAAGGATATAAATTGGCCGGATAGGAGGGAATATTGTTCCGGTTTCAAGGTTGGAGAAGAAATGGCGAAAAGACTGGTTTCTCGGGTTGCACATTCTACTTCTTTTATCGCCGATAATTTCACCGCTTCAGAAAACCTAAGGTGGAGTGTATCACTTGATTGGTTGAAAAACGGTGGTTCCACCCACTTAACTGTGAGTTTGTCTGATAATTCACAGAGTAGAACCATCGTTTTTAAATAGCCATAACGGTTCATGTGCCCTGAAAAGACAATAAAACTGTTAATTTAAGTCAAATTCTTCTATTAATGAGAAAACATAAACGTGTACTGAATGGTTCGGGGGACAAACATTGAAAATAAATGACTGAAGTAAATTTGTATGACAATTTTGCCAATTGTATGTGAAACAATACACACAATTTCTGTACTTTTGGTATTTTGTTTTCCCGTGTTTTTAATTTATTTATGTAGAATAGTCCGTTCCTACGTCTGTTTGAACATATATTTTGACATGCTTATAAATAGCATATTTTTGGTTTTGGTCTTATGTTGTGCAATTTAAAAAAGACCAGTCCGTTTTGCTTTTTTCCATGTATGTAATAGTTTATTTCTGCTTTCTTCTTATGCGGTGATTTTTTCTCTTGATTTGTCTTTTATTTTGTCTATGTAAACGTTTTATTTTCTGCTTTTTTCTTTGGTTGTGATTTTTTGTATTTTTAAGTAGATCAGTTTGTTGGTACAATGCTTTTTCCTATATGTAAATATGGTATCTAATGCTTTCTTCTATTGCGGTGATTTTTTTATCTTTATTTGTTTTTTTTCCTTGTGTATGTAAATATTTTGTTTTCTGCTTTCTTCTTTTGTGGTGATTTTTTTGTATTTTTAAGTAGATCATTTTTTTTGGTAGACGCTTTTTCCTGTATGTAAATATGGTAATTTCACCTTTTTTTCTTATGTGAAAAAGGTGATGTTTTTTCTGTTTATTTGTTTTTTTTTCTTGTGCATGTAAATGTCTTATTTAAGTATTTTTAAGTAGATCATTTTTTTGGAAGACGCTTTTTCCTGTATGTAAATATGGTAATTTCTGCTTTCTTATGCGGTGATTTTTTATCTTTATTTGTCTTTTTTCTTGTGTGTGTAAAAGTTTTATTTTCTGCTTTCTTCTTTTGTGGTGTTTTTTTTGCATTTTTAAGTAGATCATTTTTTTGGTAGACGCTTATTCCTGTATGTAAATATGGTACTTTCTGCTTTCTTATGCAGTGATTTTTTTAAATTTTTATTTGTCTTTTTTCTTGTGTGTTTAAAAGTTTTATTTTCTGCTTTCTCTTTTGTTGGGATTTTTTGTATTTTTATGTAGATCTGTATGTTGGTACGACGTTTTTCCCTATATGTAAATATAGTAATTTCTGCTTTCTTATGTGGTGATTTTTTTCTGTTTATTTGTCTTTTTTCTTGTGCATGTAAATGTCTTATTTTGTTTTTTTCTTATGCCTTGATATTAAAAAAATAAATAAACAAGCCAGTCCGTTAGTACGTCGCTTTTTCCATGTATGTAAACATTGTATTTTCTGGTTTCTTCTTATACGGTGATTTTTTTAATCTTTATTTGTCTTTTTCCTTGTGTATGTAAAGGTTTTATTTTCTGATTTCTTCTTTTGTGGTGATTTTTTTGTATTTTTAAGTAGATCATTTTCTTGGTACGACGCTTTTTCCTATATGTAAATATGATAATTTCTGCTTTCTTCTTATGCGGTGATTTTTCCCTGTTTATTTATTTACTTAATTTTTTGTTGTGCATACAGATTTCTTATTTTCTGTATTCGTCTTATGCTTTGATATAAAAAATAAATAAGCCAGTCCATTTCTACGACGCTTTTTCGATTTATGTAAACAGTGTATTTTCTGCTTTCGTCTTATGCGGTGATTTTTTAAATCTTTATTTGCCTATTTTCTTGTGTACGTAAATATTTTGTTTTCTGCTTTCTTCGTATGTTGGGCTTTTTGTGGAAATTTAAACAGATCAGTTTATTGGTACGACGCTTTTTCCATGTATTTAATAGGATGCTTTCTGTTCATATCTGAGCTATTGGTTGTCTGTATTTTAAAAAAAAAGTTGTACGTCTTCTTTCTTGTTTATGTAAATATGATATTTACATGCCTTCCTGTTATTCTGTGTTTTGATTGTATTTTTAAAAAGTTCAGTTTCAGATTCAGTTCGTTTGTACGATGCTTTGTCCATGTATGCAAATATACTAATTTCTTTTTTCTTCTTATGCTTTGATTTTTCACTGTGTCTTTTTTCTTCTGTTTGTAAGTGTAATTATTTCTGCCTTGTTATGTCGTGCTATTAGTTCTTTTCTGCTTTCTCCTTATACTGGGCTGTTGTTTTGAAAAAATATTTTTATTTGCATGTTTTAAATAAGTGTGCACGTCTTATTTTGTGTATGTAAATATGAACGTATATTTTATGCCATCTTCTTATGTTTCTGATTTTGTTTTTGTACTTTTTATTTAGGTTAGTCTGTTCT